GCCCTCTAGTTCAGATAGCTCAGAGCTCAAGGAAGACCTGTGCATAAATCAACAAGCAGCACACTAACAAAAGCAAACAGCAAAGTGGAAAGCTACAGTTCTCCATCGAGAGACTCCACCATAACAAGAATACACACACTGTATGAATGAGAACGAGATCGAGAGGTTACAGTCACATAAGAGTTGGAACAGAAGACTGTACATATGTTATATACGACATATACAGTTATGAATTGGAACATGCAGCCATTGTTGATCTTCTGTTTGTCGATGATGATGTTGATGAACTGTGTTTCATGTTCAGGTTGATGTGCACCATGCTTTCACATGATGACAATAATGTTACTGAATTACTAAAAGTAATAATTCTGGTGAAGCTTTTCTTTGTGTACTCCTATAGCTGTAACAAAATGCTATTTAAGTGTAAAAAAAATGTGATTAATTATTTTAATGATATGATATCTATACTTATTACTGAAACCCTGTGGTGATGTGATTTTTGTTTTTTAAACTATTGGGTTCTGATACTTTTTTTTAGGATGCTAACATTTAAATACCGAAATTTAAACAAACCTATAATTAGCTTTGTTAAGAGGTAGGTAATGTAAGATTTTCTTTAAGATTTTGACCTATAATATTACTGAAAACATGAGATATATTCCATTCTACAGTCACTAAGTAGTACTGTTATATACCCTACATGCTTGTGCACAGGATGTTAGTTAAGGGATCTGCAGTTGGTAATTACCTTCATTCAGAACATCCTGCAGTGTCATAATCAAACTCACTCCATATGGTCTGGAATCGCCCTTGAAATGTCTGAATACCCTGGGCAGGCTACTTTGCAGGGAACTACTAGAGCCATTGGAATGCACCTATGGAATTCCCTGATGGAATTAGAGTAATTGGAATATATCATGGAATGACTGAAACTGATTGGAATGTCCTTCTCTGATTGGTCATTTCCAGCTGGAGGAGGAGCATGTTGTCATGGAACCACCATTGGGTGGGATGGTTCTACCCCCACAAGGTCTGAAAAGGAAGGCAGAGACTCCTCTGGCTTCGCCCCCTGAACCTGGGCAGGTGTTGCAAGAGGAGCCTGTGGTCAAAGGAGGCATCAAGAGCAGAGTGAGTATCACTCCTGTTAAATTCTATGATCAAATGTGCTAGGTACAACTTAAACAGACAATACTGTGGCACTCATCTTTTGTCAAGCTGTTGTGTGCCTCTCTAAGACTTGAGTGTATCCCTGTTCGGACAACAAAACACGTTATGATGTTGGTATAGTGTATTGGGAATCCCAAGGCTATACCAATAAGAGTCCTTGGGCCAGATTCCTAACACTGCATCTGCATTTGTGTAATGTGATTAAACTGTCAAATGCATAAATGTGAATGTAAATCTTTTTTTATTTCTTTGCCCTGTACTTTAGAATGTTAATACTGAGACATTCTGAGATTCCCATAACCCACAAAGGAGCTAATCGCTACTGTTTATTTCATGTGATAATTTGTTTTCTTTCTCAGTTTCCAACTCAAGAGGAGGAAGATATTGATATGGACACAGTTCATGACAGTCAGGCCTTCATCTACCACCACCTCAGCATGCTGGACAGGCCTTCCACACCAGGCAAGTCAGAAATCGACAAATGCATTATTCTGTTTGTTGATGTGTAGAAGAGGTCTTACAGGAGTGAAATGACCATTCAAGACTACGTGTAGCCAGTCTTCCACTGCACTTTGTAACATAGTTGCTGGGGAAGAGTTATCCACAATTCAAAGCTTGAGTTATATTAATGTCCACCATTACCTAGTGTGCTCGTTTTGTAAAGATTTGCTTAGGCCATTGGGAATAACAGTGTAGTTAGAGCGTAATACACACATCAGTTATAATGATCCCACTAAAATGGGAAACTTAAGATTTGCCTTAGTTCAGATTATAGTAGATCATGCAAAAACACTGAAAAGATACTCAGCTTAGACTTGGTATTAAAAGGGAAATGGGCCAACGTACTGTTGACATTGTGGCCTATTTGTCTTATTATGCAAATAACTTAGGCCAAATTAAGCTACAATTTGGCCTTACAAACTCTTATTAAGGATGTTGAAAGATGTTCCTTTAGTGCATTACTATGCATTATATAGATGTCTAGCCAAAGTAAATAATATTAAAATATAATATTTATGTTGAAAAAATATCTTTTAGGAAGTTTCAAAGTGCAATGCTAATTCTTCTGCCACTCATCTCATCTGGTGACGCATTTAACCCCATGACCTTTTCCCTGTCCAACTCGTCTGTAGGTAGGGAACCTCCCACAATGGAGCAGACCATTATGTCCATGCCAGCCACTCCTATACCTTTGTTCAGTAAGGAAAGCACGTTGTCCTCCAAGCATGGTGGAGAGCACCACCATCACCATCATCACCACCACCACCATGAGCACAAGAAGAAGAAGAAGAAGCACAAGCATAAACATAAACATAAGCACAAGCACGACAGCAAAGACAAGGACAAAGAGAAGGAGCGCGACTCCCACACCTTCAGCAACAGCCCCGCCAGTGGCCGCTCCATGCGCTCTCCCTCTCTGTCTGACTGATCAGACCAAGATAGGACTTCATTTTGACACCATATTTTTTGTTCTGATTAGTAGTTTTACACCTTGGATCCAGTCTGCAGGATGAAGGCCGCTGGTAAACTGTAGTAATTAACATCAGTTTTCTTTTCAGTATGACCACCAATTGCACTTAGGTCAATAGGAGAAGCGCAGTGACGTTACTAGCCAGATCAGTTAATGACTGACCCTTTGATCCAGCGATTCCACCACTCACACAGCCTTCAGTTTCAGCCTGGACTTAAACTGTCCTTGTTACTAGTGTGAGAATAACCCTCAGTTTCTTCTCCGATGTCGTCACTGACCACCCACACTCTCCACGTGCTTATAACCACACACACCTCTCACCACAAGGACCACTTGAAGCCATCTTGACCGATAAATGACAGCATTCTGCTGAATACTTTTATGAGGGAATTTTTCACTGTGCTGGCTCTTCAGCTCTGTTCATGCATTAGTAGTGCTTCATTAGCTACTGGAAATTGTGGAGAGTAGATTGAAAACTGTGAACTTATATAAAGCATGAAAACTTCTTTTTTTGCTTAAGCAGCCCCCACTTTGAGTTCACACTAGGAGCAGTTTAAAATGGACGTTGTGAGCAGGCTTGTTCAGCGTATTTGACTGCTGTATTATGATTTTCAGAAGCCACATGTTACTTTTGCTCTGGTTCGTGCTGACACTCTCTCCAGCCGTGTTTTAATTTCTTTTTACTTATATAAGGGTTTTCCCATGCAATAATTTCACTGTAGTGATTTTTTAAAATCTTGCTGTTCAGTAGTGTTTTGTCATCTCTTTTATATCTGTGATGTTCAAAATAAAAGTATGTTGCAATACATATCTGAATAATAAAAAAATATCTTTACTATTAATGGACAGCTGAATCATTTGGTGCAGGGAGGGACAGTGTTTTTAACTTTATTTGTAGAGTGATTTATTCTCCCTTAACAACCACCATGTCACACACCTTCATGAGAAGGGAACTTGCAAATCTAAAATCATTTCCTTTTGCACATAGAATCAATCTGATGTTCAGGTAAGAAATTAAAAGATACATTCAGAGGCCTCAGCCTTATTGGTCTGACAGAAGTCACGACATTATATCCTTTTTGTTCATTGTTCTTGTCTATTAATGTTTTCTCACCCAGCATGCACTACACAAATACATCATACAACCATTAGTAACCCCCCCCCGCCACACACACTTTTATTTGGCTTCCTAGAAGTAACATTAGCTCTCTGGCTTCTTTTTGCAGTAGCCAGAAAAAAAACAGAAAAACATATCAAACAAAATGTTCCTCAAGTATCCGCCCCAAAGCGCTTGTAGTTTTTTAAATGTTCCTTCCAACTTCAAATTATGTCATCGGAGGGGCTTCTGGTTCTCACTCTAGAGGCCTGCGTAGGGGGCAAGTAGGTGTGTTTACAACAGCTGTAGCGATGGTTGCATTTTTCGTTTTGCTCAGTGTGTGCCTTTAAGATTGATGGTGACATTGAGGGCAGGCCTATTCTACAAATCAGGCAAAGTTTTGGGGGCATGTCACTGACCATCTGCTGCAAGTGGTCAGCTGTGCCGTGGAGTACTTAGCACAGCTATAACACAGGATTTATAAAGACAAATTTTGAAAGAAAAAATCACTAACGCTAACTTCACTTGTGTGTACCTATTTTATCAGTTTTGTGGCACGTTTTGTGTGAAAATGTCACTGTAAATCCAGACCTTTAGAAAGCTGATGATTATTGACAAAAACTAAATTACTCATTCATGAAAACTTTGAAAAAAGAAAAAAAAATCGTGGCAAATATATTGTGTGCCAGTTCTATGTTAAACATGCTTTTCCTTTTTTGTGCTGTTCATATATATATGTGCACTACCGTGTCATATTAATGAATTTAATAATAATGTGTACAGTGTACATCAAATCCTATGAGCTAGACACAAGAATATATTGTAAGATGTTTTATTAAATATTTCCAATGTTTTGAGAAGAAGCCAAGAAGTTGTTTTTCAGTTTTCTGAAAAAGTTTTAGAATCATCTACAGCCTTTGCTTGTAATTTTGGACACTTCTATGTACAGTTAATTCACTGAAAACCTTAAAACGTAGAGTAGGAGCGTCTTAACAGCCATTTTACACATATATCTGCAACATTTTTTTCTAAGAAAAAAGTGACTCCAAACTGTCTACATTTGTAGGATAAATATACGTATTTAAAACTTATTTGAGAACTATATGTATATATATGTATATGTAAATATATATATGTAAATATTTCAGTTTATTTTCCTACGTTTAATTCTTTGTCCCTGCAGGCTAGCCCCCTCCGTTCAGCATGCGCACGCGCCGCCTCCTCATTGGCCAGCTAAAGCTGCTGATCCGTGCTTGTGCTCGCGCTGTGGCAGTTTGTGCGCGCGGAGCAGCAGCAGCAGCAGCAGCACCGCTAAGGAGGAGGATGGAGCTGAAACCGGTACGGTAAGAGGAGACAGACTCAGCGTTTAATCAGGAAAACTAACTCTCAGAGCGCTGCTGTCACTTAATATGAGCTTTCACTACTCACTGTCGACTCGGGCTGCAGTTCTGTAAACTGTTAACGATTTATGGAGACACTTCAGAAGGTCAATGACTTTACATTTTTAATTAACGTCATACTTATTTCGTATTTTTTATGTAATGTGCCTTATAGAACATCAGACATTTGAATATAACACAACCTAATGTGACCGTGTAATATTACCAAAACTCCACATAATATAATGTAATACAACAGTAACTCTCTCTCTCTTTATCAGTTTATCTCTCTCTCTCTCTCTCTCTCTCTCTCTCTCTCTCTCTCTCTCTCTCTCTCTCTCTATATATATATATATATATATATATATATATATATATATATAAATAAAACCAATGATGTATTTATGAAATGAAATACTCTAGTTCTGAATAATGCTACTTTTCATTGCAGTCCTGTGTCAGTACAGAGATCTGTGGTCAAATACTAGAATGTAAATAATCAGGCTAGAATTAAGTATAAGGGTCATTGCTTTAAAACTGCAAAGTTTAATCCACTGACCTGTAAGTAAACGTGCACTGCCTTGTCCAAATGTCTGACACATGTCTGCTGTTCTGTAATTTGCTGTTTTATTTTACTTCTAAAATGTGTCTCCAGGTACTCTGTGCTATCTCTCTCCTCTGGGGGTCCAGTGTTTGTCTGGCCTACGTCCTCAGTCGGTCTGGAAAAACGGGGACGGCGGATGACTGTAGGCATCCTGTGATTTATTTCTTCTTTACTTATATTCACAGGAACCCAGTTATGACATTCAACCTGTAATGAATGTGAATTTTATGTTAAAGAAGCTGGGAATGAAAAGCTGTCTGCACAGGCTTTATGTTATTAGGCCTATAGCATGCAAAACAGCAATAATATGGACTTTAAATGTTCTTTCCACTGAGAAACTGTGTATTTTGGAAAGAAGCTCTATGTTGGGTCCATTTGTGTACCCAACAGCAAGTCTGCTGCTGTCTTTCTAAACATGTCAAGCTTGTGTTTCTGCAGACAAGTTTGTAGTTACACTTTAGTGGAGCTGGGGAGGGAAAAAAGCTAAGAGAACTTTAATGTATATTTCAGCCTTATATAAATTACTTTCAATTCCCAAAACTTGGTCTTCTTTCAAAATGGGTGCTTTCCTTTTTTTCTTCATTACAAGGCAGTTAGTGTAAAGAGATTTGCTGGTGATTTGCATCAGATGTGCGTGCCAGCTTCAGCCCTGGCGAGCGGGTAGCATTTGAAGAAACAACCGCTCACTGTTGCCCGTCCCCCACCTGACTGATCTGTTGATGGAAATCTGGGCAATATTTGCTTTGCTTTACCTTAAGTCAATATTAAGATGTGCAGAGGGAGCTTCGGTGCCTTTTGACCCAGATTCCTTGACCCCAGTTAAAAAAAGAAAGTACATGTGGTTGGTCAGTGAGGGAGGAAAGATTTAAAAGCTAAAGGTGTACCTGATCACGGTTTGTCTGAACGTCCCCAACATAACATCCTGTCAGACTCCCGCGGTGGATTGTTAACCAGTCATCCATGTCCCCCTAGTGGACTTGTTTCAAAAGGAAATATGCTCATTGACCACTAGAAACCTCTAACTTGTGGCTCCACCTTGCTGGTGAGCAAATTATAGACTGTAGCTCATCTGCTGTCATGCACAGTTTGTGTTAGCCACTCTTTAGTCCAGAGCTGCCCAAAATGAGCTGGCCGAAAGTTGCCTAACCTCCCGCTCCCTCAGCCAATAATAGAATATCTGTTGTTCTAGAATTTCTTCTTTTTCTGTTTTTTTTTTCTGTTCTTTTAGTAAAAAAAAAACACATCTATGATCCTTGACACTATACAGTTGTTATTGCAATACAGATATAACAACACATACAAGCCAACAGAGCATAAAATGGATAAGAGACCACCAGTGTGAACAGTTTCTTTTTAATGTGTTTCCTATGTGTTTGTATGTATATATATATTTTTTTTTTACTGGCAGTTCAATCTTTGTTTGGCCCAAAGCCCACCACAAACATTATGTTTTGGCCCAGCAAGACAAAATGTTTAGGCGTCACTTCTCTAGCCCCTTAGTCAGTGGTCAGTTTTTGACCACAGAGCCACTATTGACCAGACAGTATTCGGGTAGTGATCCACTCCCAGCTCAGCAGTGACACTGACGTGTGTAAAAACAATTGAGCTACAGTCTTTAATAGTACTTCAACTTAGTGGACCTATACGGTAGATGAAACTCACAAAGCAGCCAGTGAGTGAAAGTACAAGATATTTGTTTCTGTTAGAGTTGCTGGTCAGGGTAGTTTGACTTTGTCTTGTTTGACCTGTGTTTAACCTCCCCGCACTTTCTGCTTTTTATTCTGCCATAAAACATGAGGGAAGTGAATTTGTGGCTCTGATCAAGGTTGATGTTGCTTCAAACTTCCAGCAGATGTTAATGCAGATGTTACCCTTCTTTACCCCATCTCAGTCCAGTCAGACTCCCCGTATGACAGCACATCAGGATCCTGCAAACACAGGTGCTTTGAACTGCAGGAAGCCGAGGCCCCAAACTGCCGCTGTGACAACTTGTGCAAAACCTACAACAGCTGCTGTTCAGATTTTGACGAGCACTGTTTGAAGACAGGTAGGCCCACTCCCCGAACCCCCCCACCCCCACCTCTACAGACACTCCTCTCTGCATGTATGCTGACCTTGCAAATGTATGGTTTAGTTTGTGCACCTTTTCTATGTAAGGAAGGGTTGTGGCTAACAGAATGAGCTCTGAGAACATGATGGAGCCTTTCTCCATCTTAAAGGGCTGAACTTCTTCAGGTTCACATGAGGGCACTTTTTCCCCCAAAACAGCTCCTTGTTTGTGTTCGGGACTTTATCTTTTGCACTAGTCTAGTAGAGTTTTATTTACTCTGCTAATAAGCAGGACTTTATGCTGCGGCTGTCGCTGAGTAACTGTGAGTGTTGTGTCTCTGCTTCTGCTCTATCAGAGGGGGGCTTTGAGTGCAGTAAGGAGCGATGCGGGGAAACCCGAAATGACCAGCACGCCTGCCACTGCTCGGACGACTGCCTGGCCAAAGGAGATTGCTGCACAAACTACAGGACTCTGTGCAAAGGTTGGAAATTGTTTCCCAGAAGTGCTTTCATAAGAAGCCAAATTAGGTAGCGTCAGTAACCGAGTTATGGTGGTAACAACCCCCAGTGACAGTAAAACCTCATTTTTCTGCCAGTTATTTCATGCAACCGTAACAAGCCAAATTAAAGATGAAATAAAAGATGAAAACTACAAATTTTACTGAACTGTGCTTCAACTCATTGCTGTGTTTGGTCTTGAATCTGCTTCAGTGTTAGAAACCACCTCAAAATTACCAGAAAAAAAAGTGTTGCTATTAATATTACTGTCAGTATTAGTAATAATATCTCTGTAAGTGCGTCTGCTGATGCTTCTGGACACGGAGGTTTCTGGAAACATCAGTAGATGCTCCTAACTCTGAAGTGGATGTGGAACAAATGCAGTGATAGCATGCAAGTTGAAGCTTATTTTTTGTCAAATAAAAGGTAAAGCAAGGGAAAAACTGTTTGCTGTTTACCCTGGATATTTCCCAAATGATTACCTGAACAAGGGGATTCTGATAGTGGCACAGGCCTAAACCATGCTAATATATGAGGTTCTGACCTTCTCTGTAACTGACAGGATATGTAAGATGTCAAATAAATGAGAAACATGTTTAAATAAAGCTGCAAGAGCACAAGAGACATCATCTGTTTAGTCATTTAAAGACCTCACCCACCTTTTTTCTAGGTGATACTCCCTGGCTGCAAGAAGAGTGTGAGGAGATTAAGAGTCCTGAGTGTCCTGCTGGGTGAGTCTCACAGCAGTTTGGGTCACACTGTTTGTGGTCTTCTTGTATTTAGTAGTCTTTCTTTGTGTTATAAAAAATTGAGTTGTAATTTTTACACATTAAGCTCTGTTTTGAGGTTGTAAACAATGACTTTCTGTCCATCAGTAGGCTCAACAGCATAAATTCTGTTGATAACTGCTTGTGAATGGTGGACAGTACTAATCAGGGGCAGTTGCTTCAGCATCTGATTAGGTTGGAAATGCTGAAGTACTCTTTTAAGAGTCTTAACCTTAATTCACAAGCAGACCTAGAAAGTGCTAATCTGTTTATGGTGATTTTGGTCACACTCCTAGATCTGCACTCCTTCTCTGAGATGCTTCATGAACACCAGGCGTGGGTGGCAAACTTCACACCACTTCACTATTTAAATGCAGCCCTGAATACACACCATGTTTCCTGGTGCATAACACACTTCACACCACACTGGTCTAGTTTACATATCTGTAGGCTGCTAACGGCACAAACGCAGACTGAAAAGTGCATCTGTGTGACAGAACACCTGCAAATGAGGTCCTTTGGCCGTGTGCATTACAGGAAGTGTGAGGACTGATCATGTGTGTGACTTTTCAATTAGAGCCTTTTGAGACATTCTTGAAGTAGATTAGCATTTTATGACACTTTTGCAATACATCCCAGGTAACTGCTACAAAGGAAGGCAGATCTTTGAGATGATATTAAAGTCTATGCATTCATGCAGTATGTTTCAGAGTTTGAATTTTCTTTGGTTAGGTTTGTTCGTCCACCTCTCATCATGCTCTCTGTTGACGGCTTTCGAGCCTCCTACATGAAGAGGGGCAATACAGTGATCCCCAACATTGAGAAACTGAGTAAGACTGACTGTTTTTTGGTGACACATATCATATTAATAATATATGTTAAATGATACACCATATTGGAGCTTTTCCTTTTTACCACTGGCTCATTTTTTATCCTCTCTTTGTAGGAACATGTGGAACCCATACACCATACATGAGACCAGTCTACCCCACCAAAACCTACCCAAATTTATATACAATTGCAACGGTATGCATTACACCTACTTACAATGACTGTACTTTTGACTGCCATGGCTTTATGCGATTGTTGTTGTTCCCCAGTGCATCATATGCAGTTCTCCTTTGTTGTAGGGTCTTTATCCTGAGTCCCATGGCATTGTTGGTAACTCCATGCATGACCCTGTCTTTGATGCAACATTTAATCTTCGAGGGAAGGAGAAACTGAACCATCGTTGGTGGGGAGGACAACCTGTGAGTCCCAACTCTGTCTTGTCTTGTGGAGTTCAGTATAGATTATAGATACTTTTTCCATGTTAGCGAGTGCTAGAAATTGTGTCTAAATATCTGTTTCCAAAAAAGCTCCTGTACTCAGTTGCCTAATCTTGTCAGTGTCCTTCTTTAAGCCATCACCAAGACGCTTGTTTGAACGATTAGCATTAGACGTGCAGATGTTTTCCTCTTCTTTCTAAGCACTCAGCGTGCATCTATACCTCCAACTTCTCCAAAGAGAAGAGGCGAACAGCTCCTGGCACATCTGGCAAGCATTAGTTCAGCAGCTGGCGCCAATTCTCTGCTTTCACTGAGCTCTCGTCCTTTTTCGGCTGTCACCAGAAACACCAGAGTGAATTGTGAGGGCTCAAGAAGATGCTGCTATAAAGACATAACATATGGAATTTGTAAAGGTGATCGGATTTTGCAGTGTGCTGACAGTGATCACCCAACTCTGGCCCTTAATAGCTGGTCTAGGCTTTTGTAGAGTTCCCCCTCCACTTTCTGTAGTTTAAACAAAATGGGAAATGTTCTCTTTAGGATCAGTGATGGTAGTTTCTCTTAAAGTGACTTTTAAGGATTTTATTCATAGCATCTTAATGATAAAGGTCAGTTTGTCTTGAATATGACTTCTTTTTACATTCCTGAACAGCACCAAGCAACTTTCTTGCACCATTATAAGTCAGTGTTTCCTTTAACATTGTAATGAGACCAACCTGATCTCAAAACAAATTTAATTGGATTTCCTAATAAATATGTCTAAACATGCTGTAACTGCCAAGCAAGCAATTGGAGCTTCAAAAGGTGTTTCTTTATGTGACCATGGCCTCTTGTTCTCAGAGTTTTGTCTATGAATTTAAGCAACAACCCTCCTTCCTTCATTCAGGGTCACCACTTTATTGATGCACCTTTAAGAACAATATGTGCACTGCATGTTTATTTAAGTCCCTCTCTTTTTTCCCTCTAGATCTGGATAACTTCTGTGAAGCAGGGAGTGAAGGCAGGCACTTTCTTCTGGCCTATGTAAGTCTGCACTTTGTAACTTTATTCCCATTCTGGAAGTGGCAGAGTTGTATGTGACCACATGCAACACCAGTGTTTACGCTCTTCCCAGTCCCACTGCGAAACAAAAGGACAGTTTCTGGCATAATTATGCTGTACCTGCGCTGCGGTCAGTTTCAGGCAAAGCTGGAAATTATACACATGTTCTTGTTTTGCCGTGCTCCTGGGCAAGCCCCCAGCTCACTTGAAACATGTCTGCAACACAACAGCTTCCACATTCACACACAGAGACCTTTTAGACTAGAGTCTCATTTTTGCCCAGGCATAGACATGAACAGCTCAGAGTGTTTTTGTAGCAATTTGTGCAAAAAGGGGCTTATTTACACAAAGCAAAGCCCTTGTGGATTCTAACTTTCACGTTCTTCAAACTGTGGAGCCAAAGCACTATTCCTATCCCACATCCTGTGTCCTAGAGTTTGGGAGGAAATTAATTTTGTGAATAGATTTGAATTTTATCTGACTTTAAGGGAGGATATAAGCCTTACAGAGGAATAAAAGATTTCCTGTGGAGATCTTCCATGCTTTTATATGCAAAAAACACCCAAATACACAAACACACTCACACACTACAAATGTGTGCCAGGTTCAGATGTAGTCTATAGCCATGCCTATATGGCTAACAGCTGTTTTGCCATAATGTGGAACATGTAGATTGTATGTAGAGTCTTGTCCTGGAGTGCAGCATAGTTAGGAATGAGAAAGTAAGAGAATTTGAAACTCTGCTTATCTTTCTTATGCTCCGGGGGGTGTTTCAGCTTTACAAAAATCTGAAAATTTTAATGTTGTATCTCATTGGATACTAAAGTCTTTTCTCCTTCAACAGGAATCACAGTTTCTGCTTTATGTTTAACTTGTATAGACTTCTAACTTATTAGCAATGCATCAATATGGAATTCTGGGCTGATGCTGATATCTGATATTTTTCAATTCGATATGACGATATGTAAACGTTTATAAAATGTGGAAAATTGAGACTAGATTGACCTGGATTAGCATTACAGAGAAGTGTAACACATATTTGTATAAGGTTATAAATGCAGTAAAATTAATAAAATACTCACATTTTGGCACAATAGCCCAGCATCACCTAAACATTGTGCTCATCTGATGTTGGACCAAAATATCAGTCAAATCTAAACAATTGTCCAATGCTGATATTTTTCTGAGCAGTTATCTGCCATTATCGATATGTTTCCAATATCATCAGGCATCCCTATGATTTATTTCTCCTGGCTATAGTTTTACTGCTTGATTTGCCCTTATGTGTAGTTTGTGTCCAATCTGTAATTTCATGGTTTGTCCTCATTGTGTGTTCGCAGAGTGATTCCGCTGGAGAGGAGAGTGTTGACCATGCTGCAGTGGCTTCACCTCCCCGATGCAGAGAGGTCAGTGCCCCCTCGATCTTGATATTTACTGTTTTGTGTTCTATAATGGCACCTGTAAACAAGTCTCTCTTTGGAAACATTCTGTTTAGAGCATGATTGCTTGTGACATTCTGGCTGCTAGCATTTGGAGACCAATGACAAGTGAATTTATCTCATCCCTGTTTATTTCTCTCTCTCTTAATAAAACAATAAATGTACACAAACGTATGTGCTTGTTTGTATGATTCCAAGAACCAAACATTGGTTCGGCCTGCAGTACAAGCTTACAGGTGTATTTTAACTTGTAATCTTTGTATATGAGGACATTTGCTTTGCTTCTGTTGACTGTACCTTTTTGTTTGGAGTGAAAGCTCAAAGGTGAATTGATTTGTGTTTACAGGCCGTATGTTTACGCCATGCACTCTGAGCAGACGGATACCTACGGCCACAAACTAGGACCCCAGAGCCTTGAGGTGGACTGACTTGCAAGAAAACACACATTTATGGTTAAGAAGTCTAGCAGACCATATTCCCCACATCTGCTGAAACCACATTAGCTAATATACACATACACGGATGTTACATGCTCCATATGTTCCCTTAAGAAAACAAGACTTTAGTACACATACACACATTCAGGCTCACTGTGGGCAGTCGGGAAGCTTGGCTTCCCACAATGGTCTGCAGGCTGGACTCAACCTGCCAACCTGACGTAGCTTAATTCTAGATCCAAAGAAAAGATGTAGCACATATGTTACATATTATTTAAGAAAGACCAAACACCAAAAGGAGCTCACAAAAAATAGTCACTTACATCATTTGTTTTCTATTACTTGGCTATCTTTTGCCTTAATAACAGCTTTGACCCTATCAGGTAAGAATGACACGAGTCTCTTGAGATAGTTCTTCTCATTTTTAGCCCATTCTTCCACAAATTTGGTGCAGCTTTCAGCCAGAGTTCAAGTGGCTATTTTTGCATTTCACCTGCTGCTCAAGATTGAGAACTTGAAATCTGGTAAATTTGTTAGTCAGACAAACTGTCCCAGTGTTCCATCATGTCTTTTGAACCGGTCACCTACAGTCACCCAACAGTTGTCACCCTGGAATGTGGGAATTAGCTTAGACCTGAAACACAAAGTTAGTGGAAGAATGGACTAAAATGGAAAGGAACAAAGGTAAAAAACTTAAAAAAATGGTATAATCCTTACCTGACGAGATTGGTGCTGTCAGCAATTGGGTGTTTAACCAAATATTAGAAGAAATGCTGCATGTGACTAATTTTTTGTCAGAGGAGCTTACATTTGAATGAATTTGCATTTCTAATTGGTAAAATGTCCTTCATTTCTACAGCTAAACAACCCTCTGAAGGAGATTGATAGGGTGATTGGCCAGCTGATGGATGGCTTGAAACAGATGAAACTCCATCGATGTGTTAATATCATCCTGGTTGGAGACCATGGTAATGCTGTTCACTCCTGATGTTTTACTAATATACGGCACTTACATCAGTCTACTCAAGTCATCAGGTGTAATCATTTGCAATTCCAATGACAGATTCAGTGTCATTTCATTACAAATAGATGAGACCCTTACTCATTTAAAAAAGTGAAACTGAGTGTAGTGTTATGTTAATGGTAAGTTTAGTGAGGTCAGGTTAGAATACATAGTTAAAGCTTTATTTAGCAATTGCTAACTGGGTGTATTCTCTTAGGGATTTAAGTCACTAAATTGGTTTCCAAAAATGCTGTGAACAAACCAACTAAAGTGTACTTTCCCTCAGGCATGGAGGAAGCTCACTGTGACCGTACAGAGTTTCTCAGCTCATACATGTCCAACGTTGATGACATCATACTGATCCCTGGCTCTCTTGGGAGAATTCGAGCTCGACATCCCAACAACTCTAAATGTGAGTAAACCATAAGCAGACAACTTGCCTGTCTCTAATTATTTTGTATAGCAAGTGTGAGACGGCACAAAACTGTGGAACTACTGTCGCTAGATAAGTAACCCTGAACAATCAACTTGGATTCATAAAGACTAACATTGTAGTGTATACTGTAGTTACCCTATATGTTATTTAAATGTTTTATAATGTTGTTGTACCATTTCATTATTGCATGTGTTTACAATGAACATGTTGAATCTTGTTTTGTTATATTTATTAAGTTTTTCATTCTTTGTCATTTGTAGTTGACGCAAAAGCAGTGGTAGCAAATCTTACAGTAAGTACATTTATATAACAATAAATTGTTACTCCATCAGTTTTTCTTACTTGATGACATGCAATACTGTGCCAAAGTCTTTTTTGCCTGTACAAGGTAACAAACCATTTTTTTTCTGTCTGCAGTTGTTTTTTCTGTCTGCAGTTGTTCATAAAAAGAACCGACAAGTAAAATGAACTAGAACGAACAGGGAGAGAACATTCTAGAGTCTTTGAGCAATAAAACACAAGTTATGGCAACCCAAAGCATGTTTTGTCCAGTCAGTGTGCTCAAGGCCTGGGCAGTTTATAAAAAAAAGCAATTATCGCGCAAAAAAAAAGATTAATGCAATCTGCTCTTGCTATTTTCTTTTTGGTTTATGTTTTATATGGTTTATATACAGTACATTTATATGTTTTTGGATATAAAACTCATATAGTTATATTTAATCTTATTAAATAAAATAATACTGAGTAACCCAACATCTTGCAAGCTATTTCAGCTTTGCTTTTAATGGAAGAGTTCATGAATGCGGAAACACACGCATTCATGAACTCTTTATGGTGTTGGTTCATGGCAACTTGTGTGGTATTAGCGTGCCCTGATGGAGAAGCTTAAGGCTTAAGGCTTAAGTGCTTTACCTCATTATAGAAGTTTTCATTATTCAGCTAAACACCAGGACACTTCAGCTTTAAGGAAAATACTGCAAATTATAAATCACATACTGAGAAATGTGCAACAGAGAAAGTAGGGACTTACCAAAGCCTAACAGCTTTTAAAGGCCCCATGATAACCCAGTGTTTTAATAGTAAAAGTAAATAAAACAGTATATGCACATATTATTTAATATAGTTTGTTACCTTTTTCTTATCCTGTTTTCTGGTCGTAGGCGGACATTAGAAGAACTTTTGCTACTTCTAAATGTGCTAGGGCTTGAACCTAGCTGCTTTAGGGTAATATCCAGTAACTTTAGCTTGGTTGCTTTACTGCAGCAAGTAACACTGAAGAAAGTTCTGAAGCATGTTGGTTTTCAAATGGTTTTCTTCTACTTAATCAGCAGAGGATAACAAGTTAGATTAGCGTTTTCTCAAATGACGTTTGTGCACCTGTTAACCATCAAAAACAATACTCTAAAAGTACCACAGACTTGAGCCTTTGTTAGGAATGTTACCTCTGCTGTAAGTTCTTAACCTCTTCTCCACAGTAACCTTAATAAGCCTTAAATGTTAATACTTGCCCACTGTGGAAAGCCATGCATTCAAGCTAAACTTAATGTAAAGTATCATAAGTAGAAGGTGAAGTGCTGTGGGGATGATTAAGCTAACATTATAGTGCATAACAGAGAGAACTAATAGGCAGCTTCTTAACAACACCCACACACCTCTTAAAGGAATGTGAACCCTAATTTCCCAACATTATTTTTTCAAGCTGTTACTGTTAATAGGGGTAAATTAGTCCTCTCCGATTCTCTGTCAGTTTCCCAACTTGCCAGTTATTGCCTTTTAAGCATTGTCATTGAGTTTGTTGTCAGTCATTGATGATATCCGATTACATCAGATATCTTTTATAGAAGAACAGTTTGGTTCTTGACCTCTTGGTGCACTCCTGACATTATCTGTTTTTGATAAATTCCATCAGCAGCACATCTGAAATAATTTAATGTATTATTTAATGTTTGATTAGCTAAACTAAATATTCAACAGTAATTGTAAATACTACAATTACGAGAGGAGAGGTTTGGAAATGGTTAAGCTACAATCACTCACACACATTAAATTTCAATGTATTGTGTATTTGTTCATTTGTATTTATTTTAATAATGTTTTTGAGCAAAAAATGCTTACTGACCAGATAAATAGCTTTACATGTTGTTTTTGTCGATTGCTTAAGACCTTTGCACAGTACCATATATGGAAAAGGATCATTTAAAATTAATGGATTCTTTACTTATTTATTTAAGCGTGGACCAGGTTGTCTAATTTTACTGTGTTGAACTCATCTTGCAGTGTAAAAAGCCTGACCAGCATTTTAAGCCCTACCTGAAACAGCACCTTCCCAAACGCCTCCACTACGCCAACAACCGCCGCATTGAGGAGATCCACCTTATGGTGGAAAGAAAATGGCATGTAGCAAGGTAAGTAATAGACTATCATGTTTTTAATGTCCTAGATATCCTAGTAATATGAATGTAATGGATAGGCATAGTACTGGAGTGCTAGTGCAAATGTATGTTAATGATTCAGAGCAGCAGTACTGATTTAGCACCACCAAACAATCATGGAAACACTACACAATGACATAAATGGGATCACAGGTCCATCTTTTTCGGAGGAATTAGTTCATATAGTTTGCTATCTCATGGAAAGTCATACAGGTTATATAGTTCATTATTTATCTTGATCGCACATATGACCCATAGCCTGGCTCTCCAGAGGTCCTACTACTTAATCAGCAGAGTATAACAAGTTAGATTAGCGTCTTCTCAAGTGACATTTGTGCACCTGTTAACCATCAAAACCAATGCTCTAAAAGCACTAGAGACTTGAACCTTTGTTAGGAGTGTTACCTCTGCTGTAAATTCTTAACCCTCTTCTCCACAATAACCTTAATAAGCCTTAAATGTTAATACTTGCCCACTGTGGAAAGCTATGATTCCTAAAGTAAACCCATGAGGTCATTCCCAGAGCTAATGATGACTTCTGAACACACTACATAAAGAAGATGTAGACGAAGAGAGAGAAGCAACTCCTTGTGGTGCTGTAGGGAAGCCCTCCTCTGTTTGCCTTGGCATGCAGCAGGGCTCAAATGAAAGAGTTCTTTTAGGCCTACCATTGGAGATACAGACACGTCTAAATGGTGGCACCAGAACTCTGAAGCAACTCCTTCTTTGTAGGGCAGTGTTTCACCAGGCCTGTACGTAGTAGCATGAAGCAGGCTTTTAAATCATCTTCTTGGATGGAATGAGGTGAAACAGAATGTTTGTGTATGCTGAGGTCTCCTGCTGTTGTGTGATTTACACTACATGCTTGCAGCACCTAGATGTGCTACAGGAATCACCGAGTTTAATCAGCAGTCTGGCATTTTCAGCTTGGCCCATTGCTGCTCAAATGTTGCTGATGTAAACATTCCTGTTGACATTTATCTAATCAGCTCAGGGGTCTAAGGGTCTGTTGACCTAAATCTACGCCTGCAGAGCTGAGTAACTAGTTTTTCCACCACTTGTATTATCAAAAAAGTTTTATAGTTATATTTTATAGTGAAAGCTTCAGTGACCCTGTTACCTCTGTCTGCCACAGGAAGTTTCCTGAGGGGAAGAAGCATCCAGGCAGATGCGGTTTCTCGGGTGACCACGGATATGATAATAAGATTACTAGCATGCAGGTATGCACACAAAGCCGCAGGTAATATTTGGAACAGCACTGTGGTGTGTTTCTTACTCACTTGGTTCTCTCTTGCAGACTGTTTTCCTTGGATACGGACCAATGTTTAAATTCAAGACAAAGATACCACCGTTTGAGAACATTGAGCTGTATAACGTCATGTGTGGTATGATTACTGTTTTCACTGTTTTGTGTTTTTTTTTTATTAAAATTTCAATTTTTTATCCTATTGTCAGTGTCAAGAATTGTAAATCAAAGCTAAAAGGGGCTAGTTATTTGCATTAGTATGCTGCATAAAAACTAAGGACTTTAGCATCAGTGAGGCAACACACTGCATTGATTTATATCAAAACTGTATTGCTCAAACTTCTTACATCATTCCTTCATAGACCTACTTGGCTTGAAGCCTGTTCCTAACAACGGAACCCATGGTAGTCTGAACCACATTTTGAAAAACCCTGTGCACAAACCTAGCATGCCTGAAGAAGTGTCCAAGCCAACCCCCTCTGGGCCCACCACAGCCATAACTGATGACCTGGGGTGCACTTGTGATGAAAAGGTCAGCAGCTTTGCACATTCATTTTGAGGGCCTCATGATGAGGTTCTCACTCATTTCTAAATTGGAAAGATCTGTCTGCATTTATTGTGGTTTAGGCACACCTGCACATTAAAATGTTCACTTTCCCAAAAGAAAAACTGAGTGACACTTTATTTTGAGTGGTCTTTTTTAGATTAAACAAACACTCAGCGGACTCTCAGTAACATGTCAAAAACATATATGTGTTAGGATTAGGTTTTGGGTTGAGGTTAAGGTTAGGGTTAGGATTAGGGCCAGGGTTAGGATTAGGTTTTGGGTTGAGGTGAAGGTTAGGTTTAGGATTAGGGCCAGGGTTAAGGTTAGGTTTTCGGTAAGGTCGGGTAAGGTTAGGTTTTGTGTAAAGGAAGTAACATATTAACAATATATCTACTTAATGTAAGTAATGTATCAACAGTACATCTGCAAGATATTTACTTCAATGTATTCAGAAGCTTCACTACTGCTACTTCACTGATATGCTATTGATGTGTTACTGACCATCTGTTAACAGTTTATTAATCACCTACAAAGGACTGCTCCAAATAAAGTGTTACCAAAAACTTTTACGTAGAGTAACTGACTTTGTAGGGTAACTGACTTTGTAGGGTTACTTTTTAGTCTTAAGAAGGTCAGTACCATAAAGACACCAAACACAAAGCCAAAACCTTGCTTTACCATTAATTCACTAATTTATAACCAGCTGCCGAAGATTAAGTAAGAAAAGTAACTGCAATGAACTGTAAGCACAGTAGACAAACAGACAAAAAGTTAACATTTACCTTATTGGTAGACTGTAATGACCAAGCAGAAGTTATAATGTTTGACTAACTAGCTAATTAAGTTATATGTTGGCTGCAGTGCATAAAAAAAACATCCTCTAACATCAGTGTCTACTTAAGATTAGCATCTTGCTACTGTTAGCGTCTCTGGCTTTAGCATTTCTTGTACAGCTAGCTTGCGTTAGCATTTCTTTTATAGCTAGCTTGCTAGCTAGAAATCTACCTACCAGTTTTATGTGTTAATAATTAATCATACCATTGGCTTTTGTCACCATTTAACACATTTGTAATAGTATTCTTGGTTGAATATTTGAGAAATACCTCTATTATCAAGAGAAATGTTGTGCCTTAAAATGCCATGTGAATAACTTCTGAAAAATTCCAGATCCACTATGTAAACTAGTGAATCTTTTTTTTTATCCTGCTTGGAAATACAACAGAACTATAATAGCCTTTTCCTGTGTCTAGACAAGGTTCTCTAAATCATATTGGGCCGGTTTACTGGACCTAGATTGAGTTGAATCCTAGATTCAAGTCTTTTCAGTGGTAAATCGCCATTGACATCGCTGTTTAATCCTAGACTAGGCCTAATCTGTGTCCAGGAAACCGACTCATGTCTTTGTGTTTAAAAACAAGAAACAAACTGGTAATACATTTTTTTGCTCCTACAAGTGCTTTTACTTTCCGCTGATGTGTAGATCTCTTGCTAGAGATTTTCACCTTTAATCTTTTGCAGTTGCGTTCAAAAAGTAGGGGGCAGAGGGCTTTGAAAGTGGCCCTGGTAAGAGGCTATAACCTGGAGTCACTCTGGCTCTGTCTCTTACAGAACAAAGTGGAGGAGCTCAATCAACGACTGAGACAAGTTATTAATGGTAATGACCCCCTCCACTCCACCCCACACTGAAATGGTTTAGTTTGTTAAATTAAAAACACACACGTTAATCCTACTCTTTCCAAATTAGCATAACTTGTATCTAGAAAAACACACACGTTTTTAGTATTACTTAATAATTTGTTTCATGTATCAAATCAGCATGAACACTGCATCAATAAAAATATCGCTTTCAGAACATTGCAGTTTTTCCACAATTTTTTTGTGTTTTCATTTCATAGACAGCAAGAATCTTCCTCATGGTCGGCCAGCAGTCATGTTCCGCACCAAGTATGGCATCCTTCACCACAGTGATTACATCAGCGGATACAGTGAAGCTCTCTCCATGCCTCTGTGGACCTCCTATACCGTCTCTAAACAGGTACTCAGCTGCCTCAGCAACAGCACTTTATGCACAGTTTAGAGTCTGTATGGATATTGGAAGTATACGTTGGGGTGAGATGGAGTTTGTTGTCTATCATGGTGTAGGGGAGACCTCAGATTTCAATTTTATTGTATTTTCTGATGGAATATTGTTACAGTCAGTTTCTGAAATCTTACTTTAAGCTTTGATGTCTGTCATTCATGTTACTGAAAGAGTTTTGCTGCATATGAATTTCTTTATACTAATTTATGTGGGTGGTGTATTTCAGGTGAATGTGACTCCTCTTCCCGAAGCATTGAGTAACTGCATGAGGCCTGATGTTAGAGTTCCTCCAGCCTACAGCCAGTCCTGCACCGGCTACCGAGCTGACAAACAGATCTCCTATGGTTTTCTCTACCCACCTCGTGAGTCACACCTTTCTGAGACCCAGATTTATCCTCTTAAATCTTAAGGGCCTGTATGTGAGTTCAGACTCTCATAACTACATAACTTGCATATTATTAGTTACCATATACATTATAGTAATTACTGTATAATAAATCTTAAAATGAATAATAGGATAATACATCAGCCTAGACCCAGGTTAACAATGACTTTTAATGGAACTGTCCAAGTAATTAAAACTAACACCAAAATCTGGTACTGTGCTATATTATACTGTACATTTCTGATATGTATAAATGGGCATTTCTAATAAATAATGCATCTGTCATTGCAATTATTCAGAATATTTGTAAACCAAGTCAGAATATTTGTAAACATACTTATTTTTATACTATACTATTTTATACTATACTATTTTATACCCCAGTACATAATGGATTAGGTTTAGGTTTTTAAATAAGAAGTATTAAACCCAGTGAAGGAAAATGAAATTAGTTTGGCGCCAACATAAAGGCAGTAACTGAAATTAGCATTATCCCTGTGGTGGTAGTCTTATACGCAAAAGGTACTTCTGAAGTGAGCGTGCCTTAATTAAACACTGCTATATTATGCGTGACATGTTTATGATTATATACCAAAAGTAAAAAAAGTTCATTAAATATTATTTAATCATGGCATTATCAGTGTGAGAAGAATTGCTTAAAAATAGAATTTAATGGCCAACTTGGACAAAGACAGCTTTTAATAGTATGCAAGTTTGCTAATATCCACAATAATGACATTTGTAGTGTCTAGTTTGTCAGACTGCAAATATTTGGAGATGACCTATCTGAGTATTTTCATATTTATTGATAAGATTACTGAAAGTGTTCTATTTTTCCAATAAATTGGTTTAAAATCTGGGAAAATCCTGTTGTACCAATGTTATCCACCTGGAAGTAAGTTGTTGTTGCACTTGCTAATGTAAGTCTATGCTGTACATGAGTGTTGTCATGCGTTCTGTTGTCTGTCATCAGACTTACTTCAAAAAAATGGAATTGCATCTAAATGTTTTGTTCATTGGTCTGTGTCTCATGATTAACAGAGTTAGCCTCCACTCAAGAAGCAAGATTCGATGCTGTGCTCATCACCAACACTGTGCCGATGTACCCAGCGTTCAAGCGTAAGAATTCCAGCCATCTTTTCACTGACCATGCAGTATCCAGCTGTTTTTATTCTCTTAAAAGTTTAATTGAGTGGTTCACGCAGTTATCCACAAAACTAAGCACTTAAATGCATGAAGAACAAGTCCATGACTTTAACCACACTCTCAGCACTTCAGCATGTGTATCCAATCATCAGTTAACAGTTCAAATCATGGTGGACTGACCAAATGCAGCCCCTTGGGGTCGCGCCCCATTACATTTAATTGTTCATTAGTGGAATGGATGGTGGTGACAGCTGGTATCAGAAAGAAGCCGTTGTAATTCAATTTTGTAATTAGCTCTTCATGTTATAAGTGAAACTGGAAGCAAATGCCTGAGATCTGCTTAGTCTCACTCTTACTCGCTTAGTAAGTGAAAAGCGCTGTCAGACAGAATTGATTTCACATTTTATTGACTGACGTCTGGGTTGAATTATCCCTGCGTAGCCTTCAGAAAGACTAGGTGGGCTGTGTTGTGTCTTTCAGGAAGTTATTTGTTGTGCTTAGACAAAATGACCACCATGAAAAAACCCAAGGGAAAAAAATCTTAAAGAAAGAGTAGTGTGTGTGTGTGTCTGTGTGTGTGTCTTTCGAAGCCGTGTGTGGCCTGTGGTATGAACTTGGGTTGAAAACAACCCACTGTGTGAGAGGTGCCTCTGTTTCAGATTAGCTGTTCACACACTCTGCATCCCCTCAGAGGAAATGAATCGGTGCACACACTGCTCACGTGGACGCTGATAGAAAAACACACACAAACAGAAACTCATTGGAGTTTATTTTTAATACAATATAGAAAGTTTTAATATGGTTTAATATAGTTTTAATTATGTTGCTCAAATGGATTCATCACACTATGTGCACACAGTACTGTGCAAAAGTCAGAGACCACCCTTTATTTATTGAATTTCCAGCCTAAACAGTGACAACAAGTACAGGTTATTCATTTTTCAGTTGGTGTTTCTGAGGAGATTAGATTTAAGATAATCCATGTGCATAAAGTTAGGAAAATAAGAAGTTCCCAAACTGGAGTTAAAAAAATGATAAAGAGATACAGAAAAAATGGGACTTCTAACAACTGTGCGAGACCTGGTAAACCACCAAAACTGTCACCATCTGATGAAGAGTAGGAAGAAATCAACGTCCACTCTTGTTTCAGATCTGAAAAATCCACAGCTGTTTCTGTCCATCCTTCACCTGTGAAACAACTAATCAACCCCAAACCCGAAAGAATGTGTAGCTGTCAAGATGACGTTACTGCGAAAATAACATGGAAGAAAATGTGCACTAGACCATTAAAACTGGACATCTGAGATGTGGAGTGTGGTTTTGTGGATTGACGGTTTTATGGTCTGAATTCAAAATTGGGATTACTTAGATCGTGAGAAGTAGAAAATGCACCAGACTTCTAAGACTGAACTTTGGAGGTGTCGAAATATTTTGAAAGTCTGAAAACAAGTCTTTTAAACAGTGGAAGCTGTTATAGCTGTTAAAAGGTGGATACAATAATATATTGAAAAAAATGGGTATTTTTGCTGATGCTGAAAAACAGCTTTGTACTTTGGCCATTTTGACTGGAAAAGAAACAAATTAAGGGTGGTCTTAGACTGTTGCATAGCACTGTATGCATATATATCCAGTCTTTCCCAATGTTTGGAGCAGTAGATGGGTGTAGAGGAAGCTTGGCAGATGGAGCAGAGTGCGAGGGCTGGTGTGTGAGCGTGGCAAGTCTGCTTTTGATTAGCTGGACTGGAAAAGGGAGCACTGAGATTCTCTTTGAAGAGCTGCCAACTTCAGAAGCTCAAGGCCTTTTCTCTCTCATTCTCTCTCTCTCTCTCTCGCTGTGTCCTCAGTACTCCCCCTCAAGTCTGTGTGTATCCCGCTTACCCCTACGCCATGCCATCTGACCTCTTCTCATGACATCTGGAATAATTAAATACCCAATTACACTCCCCATTTACCTCCCATACTGTTCAAACGGCCATTTCAGAAGTGAAAGAATAGTATGTTTGTGAAATATTGTGTGTTAATACTCTCACACTGTTTGCATCTTTGCCTCCATATCTGGGTGATTCCATGGTTGGGGTGCCATGTAGCTCTTGTCGCTCTTAAAAACTTTTTTTTTGAAGTTTTAACAGTTTTTAACATCGAATCTAAGACAACATCCATTTAGGCATTTAAAAAAGTGAGAGGAACAGGAACAATATCTCATTTTTACAGTTTCTGTGCTGACAGTTGCTTAAATAAGTAACAGAGAGACATTGTTCTTCCTCTAGTGATCGTCAGGAAATTCAGAAAATTCTGTTGAATTTATGGAATATTCATAAAAATGAAAAATGATATTTCAAGCATGTTAATGTTGAATGTATTCACACATTAATGCAAAAATAAACAGAATTTTACTTTGCATACATTTTTTAATTGTAATATCAGTGGAAACCAAATGGCACCCATCTAAACATCCATCCATCTCTGTGTGTTAGGTGTGTGGACTTACTTCCAGAAGACTCTGGTGAAGAAATACGCCAGTGAGAGAAATGGGCTCAATGTGGTCATCGGTCCCATCTTTGACTACGACTATGATGGCCTTCGAGACTCAGCAGAGAAGATGAAACAGTACGAGAAAAAAAAGAATGCAGTAACATTTTCATTTTTGCAAGCTTTCCTGTAACAAAAGCGTGGAATAAGTCTATTTGTAATATATATATATAATATATTTTTCTTTAGTAGATTCTGAAAGTATCTTTTCATGTGTGTGTGCAGGTATGTAAGTGGCTCCGTGCCAATCCCCACTCATTTCTTCATTGTGGCAACAAGCTGTCTGGACTACACACAGGCTGTGGATGCCTGTGATGGACCTCTCAGTGTCTTCTCCTTCATCCTGCCTCACAGAGCTGATAATGATGAGACTTGCAATGTAAGCTGGACTACTTGTTTTTTCTTCCTCTCCTCTCAAGTATCATGCTCTCTCTTTCTTTCAGATTTCTGCTGTTTTTTCTCATCCCTCTTTCTTTTCTTTGCTGCACTTTTGACTCATAATCCTGTCTGTTCTCATTACTGCTAATCTTGCATCAATTTGGCATCTGAGTTTTACAGAATATATCATTTATATGTCTAATAATTTCTGGTCTTTAATTTTTTCAATCAAATACAGCATTTTATTTTTTTTAAATCAAGGCCCCTGTCAATTTATGTTTTAGTTTCCACTTCACTTTAATAAGCTATGACAAAATACAAACTGCAGTAAATTAGGAATATTTGAAATATTTAATTTATATTTTAATTATAAATTAAATAGATATTGTGATTAAATTAACGGCATAATGTTATTATATATGTTCGTTAAATTGTATTATTGTGATCATTATTATTTTTGGGAGAAGGAGTAGCAGTAATGTGTATATAACATGTAATATATAATAGCAAAAACAATTTAAAGAAAGCTACTAGAAAATAATGCTAATGTTCTAAAGCCTGCATACAGCCCACAGTCAGCAACGTTGTGTCTAACTAAATAATATTTTGAGGCTGTATAGTAAAAGGGGAGCTTTACTCATTGCCTGGAAGATTTCTTGCTCCAAAGTTCCATTTTTTTTTTATTTCACTCAAAAAAAATGTCAATAAATTTGATCGACTGACCACAAAAAAATCAGTGAACTAGATGAAAGTCCAAAATTAATTAGACTATAGCCACTGAGTAATTATGGCTCCATCATTTGATCAGGAAAGAAACTAACTGGGGACATCTTACCCCTTATCCTACCCCCTAGTTAATGAGTGTTGTTATCTTATAGAGATTTTGGGCTTATTTATTTGAGTGGCCTGTGCTGCTCATGATGCAGTTATCTCAAAACTGAGGTCTTCAGTGTCTTTTTAAAGGATTATTTTCACCCATGGCTCAGTGTGAACATTTGACCTGTTTTTTGTTCCTCATCCAGAGTTCAGAGGACGAGTCAAAGTGGGTGGAGGAGCTGATGAAGATGCACACGGCACGTGTGCGGGATGTGGAGCTCCTGACAGGACTTGACTTCTTCCGCCGCACGAGCCAGAGTTACACCGACATCCTCTCTCTAAAGACGTATCTGCACACGTATGAGAGCGAGATCTGAACCACTGCTGTCCTTCTACTAGGCATCCTCGTCCCGTCAAAATCCCACCCCCTGCCCCTCTGCCGCCACCACTACTACCCCATACCCCTACCCCGTCCACTGCCCTGTCTTATGAGATGGTGTATATTTTTATACAAGCTGTCATATTTATTGTCTTTCATGTAATTTCCTTTTTTCTTCAGTGAATTACACACATGAATGGTCCTCTTTTTAATGAGTTTAAATGACAGTGTGAAGACGTTGCTTTTGCCATTTATTCAAGGTGTATGAGTGAGTGAGTGCTTTGGTGAGCGTGAACAAGGCTGAGAAATGTGAGCGTGAGTGAGAATTTCTGTACTGTATACTATAATGAAACTTGTAATATTGTCTTTCAACATGTACCACTTGAGTGATTCGACTTGTTTACTATGCTTTGAATGAATTTCATGACATTAAACACTTTTATACTTACCTATTATCCTGATCATTTTGGGAAAAACAGTGGCACCTGGTGGTCATTTGGCAGTTTAGCATGTCATGCAGTTCTATCCACAAGAGGGAGCTATATCTTCACAAATCGACACCAGCAGGCCTGGTGTTGAAGATTTTCTTAGTTTCTTTAGCACTTTTCCCATCTCCATTAATAAAAAAACCTTTTCAACTGGCCTAAAGAATGAATGAACCTTTTCAACTGGCCTAAAGCAGCAAAGAAGGTTTGCCATCAAACTAACATTTCCTGATTAGATTTGTGTCATGGTAACACAGTCATTCCCAAGATTTTGTTATTGTAACATCTGTGATCAGTTGCATATTTTGACCATAAAAAAATATAACCTAGAGTCAAAGAACGTGACATCATGATGACATTGCAATGATCTGTTGATGACGCATTCTGTCTGGCAATAACATTGGTCAGTATTTTTTTTGTATGCTGTTTTGTTATTGTAAAATATAACACTAAAGTGCATGGTGCTTACACAACACAGCTTATGTCTGTGGTTGTGTGTGTGAGATGCAGTTCTTGTAACAATAGAGAAGGATCAGTGTGGAAGTTCAGAGAGGCCATGAGGTAGTTACAGTTTTCTTGACTCTTGAGATCATGACTTAATTATCTCAAGATAACAAAAGTTATTTTCTTCACATTACCGATTTTTCTCGTGATCTCAAGATCAAGATTATCAAACTATCGTGAGAAAACATTTATTATCTTGAGATCACAACACAAATAAGTCATAATAACTCAAGATAACAGTCCAGAAAGTTAGAACTACCTCGTGACCTCTCTGGACTTTCCTAGAACAGAGAAATTATGAAAAAATATAGTTGGTTAGATTTGTTACTGTGGTTGTGTTTGAAGTTTTGACTTGACCCTGGAAGCTGTTAATCCTCACAGTTATTCGATTGTGAATGTTCTTAAATGGCATTAAAATTACAAGACATAGGAGTGATCCATATCAAATTATTACAATAGCATTTGACCCTTCTGCAGTGAGAATGTGCTTTCTTTCTTTTACATGCATACCAGAGCCTGTACTCAGTGAACCATTGCAGCTCAACCACTGAATAACATCTTTCTGCAAGCTCCCTACTAATCACTCCACCAGTAGAATGGAAATCGACTCAGATATTTTGAGGTAGTATCAACAGTCATGTAGCCTCATGTATGTATGAGAGTAATACATGAACACAGCCGACAGCTCTAAAGTGTTGACTTTCATTATTTTATCATATGTCTTTATCTTTTTTTCATGCAGTTATGCAGTAGCTCACTGCTACCACATGGTGGCCTAAATTCGTGTTCATGAGTTGTGTCTTTATTTCTTGCTGTGACTTTGTTTCCATTATCCAGTGATGATATTTATGGTAGGAAGTAGCATATTAGTAAGAGGAGGACGTGTCCACTGTGCCAAGTTTAAACTTTGACAAAAGGCGTTTTGCTGGGACTTTGTGTATTTTCATCAGTTTCATCAGTGATTATAAATCGGTTTAATGAAAAGGTCAATGAATATGTGAGCAAAACAACCAAAGTACGGAGCCCCTAAGGTAACATGGTGAATATTTTTTAATAAGATGAGGCCACAAATTAATATGTTAAGGCCACAAGTTATGAGAAACTTACTTAGTGGCCTCAATATAGTAATTTTTGGACTCAGTGAAGTAATTTGTAGCTACACCTTATTCAGGAATAATCACCATATCACCTTAGATGTTCTCTTCCAAAGAGAACTAACGAGAGGAAAAAGACAGCAATCCTATGTGTACTGTTGGTTAGGGTAGGTATTGGAGTAGATTATGTGTAGTGTTGGTTAGGGTAGGTATTAGAGTAGATTATGTGTAGTGTTGGTTAGGGTAGGTATTGGAGTAGATTATGTGTAGTGTTGGTTAGGGTAGGTATTGGAGTAGATTATGTGTAGTGTTGGTTAGGGTAGGTATTGGAGTAGATTATGTGTAGTGTTGGTTAGGGTAGGTATTGGAGTAGATTATGTGTAGTGTTGGATAGGGTAGGTATTGGAGTAGATTATGTGTAGTGTTGGTTAGGGTAGGTATTGGAGTAGATTATGTGTAGTGTTGGTTAGGGTAGGTATTGGAGTAGATTATGTGTAGTGTTGGTTAGGGTAGGTATTGGAGTAGATTATGTGTAGTGTTGGTTTGGATAGGTATTAGAGTAGATTATGTGTAGTGTTGGTTAGGGTAGGTATTGGAGTAGATTCCAGGATATTCCAGTATACCAAGTGAATGTATACATAGAGGCCTTTTCTTCAATAAAATACATTAATAAATACATTTAAAATGTATAGAAAAATACATGTTTATTATGAAATAACACATATTGAAAACAATACAAGTCATCATCAACGCTGGAGAAGCTGTGTGAAATTTCTATCAGATCATATGAACGTACACAAACATTGGACTACAGACATTTCTCATTCACACGGGTTAGCAAAGTAACACCACAAGTGAGTACAACATACACAAACTATTCAACAACTGTCTACAGACGTTTTGTGAACAAGGGATGGATTATCAAATGCATATTTAATTTAGTTCATTAGAAAGGCCTCTAACAGAAAATGACCCCCTTTTTACCACAGCGAAAAACAAATATGACCACAGGAGAATGTCACTTCGCTTTGTGAGCGACCTTTGACCTTAGACACACTGCACACTCTCTGTCATGAGGCCCTTTGCTTCACCTTTATTGAGGACAGGGCCTGGGAGGGGTCATCCTTATGCAAACCGTCCACTAGAGGAATTTATGGGACGTTGCTAGACGCAGTCTTTAGACCAGGAGTTGTTATGAGGACTTTCAACCCCTCAAAGAAGGATGCAGACATACGGTCATAAAAGTTTGAACACTCCCAGTCATTTTGTTGATTTTTATAAGTGAAAACAAGTCAACACATCCTTTACAGCAAACAAACTTAAACATGGCATTTTCTACAAAATGCACAAGTTCTACTTATTTACGGCCTTTGCCATATTGAAAAATTATAAAAACTTTTGCACAGGCCGCATTATATGCTAAATTTTTTCCAATATGTTAAATTCAGCAAACAAACAGTAACTGTACATTACAATGTGCAGAAGTGTGTTCTCTGTAGAGGATGTCTTTGTTTCAATTAACAAAATTTGACCAGGAGTAATTTGACCATATAACTGTAGGACCAGTTTTATCTTTGTTATTCTAATCTAATGATTATATGGATGGGGTGGAGGGGACCGGAAATAGATGACTACACAGAGATGCTTAGGATGTACAAAGTTGTGTAGTTTGCCCAAATTTACAAAGAGCTAAAACTGGGGCTTTCCTCCTTTTCTTTCTGATGGAATACTCATAACTCATTTCTGTTTGCTAGGGGCTTATAATTTCATCAGGTTAAGACCATAGATGAAAACTCAAAGTATTAAGAAATAATACAGTAAAAAAGCCCTCTGGACAATCAAAGGGAGTCAGTATATGGAAACCCTACGTGTGCAGCATAAGCCATCTTTACTGTTGTTGCACTCTGAAGAGTAAGTGCCTTCATCTAACCTGCACTTGTGCTCATCTAAGAAGCCCATTCTCAGAGCTAAAGACCGTAGTTGTTAATGTCAGTAGTAGGTTGCTGGACTGCGTTGTCTCGTGGGCAGTGGTGGTGGCAAACACAGGTGTTTATGAACATCACAGGCCTCTTGACCACTCTGTTGTTCAGGCACTGGAACTCCACCTGAGCTGTTTTGGTTTTATGTGGTGTGCAGCATTGGCCATCAGCGCACAGGCCGCAGAAGCGAGGCCGGAAGGCCTGGATGCTGGTGCAGTTCTTGAAGGTAAAGTGGACAGCTTTGGCACTCTTCTTGGTCTTAAGACACTTGCTCCCTTGCTGCAGTAAAACAGAATCATGCAGTTATTTTAAAGTTTAGATTGCCTTTGTCATTAGTCTTAATTAGATCCTTTGTAACACGGTATAACATCAACACATATTCAAACAGATTATAACAATATTTAACACTGGGATAAAATGACCTTCCTTATTTTCGGTGGCGGTTCTTGCAATCAAACTGTTGACAGCTCAACCTTAAGCTATATTCTTTTTGTCAGGGCACAAATATCTGAAATGGATGACCTGAAAGGCTTCTACATCTGTCATACTATGAGGGGAAACAAGTATTCAGACACTTTCATTTTTGATATCTAGTACACTTCCAGTCTACATATCCACTTCACACATTATCTTTTTACCTCATGAATTACTAATCTGAACAAACATATACTTATACTTAAACATATACTTATAAATTTGAACAAAAAAAGTATGTATTTATAGGTAAGAACTAAACTGATTTAAAAAAGTGTACAGGCACTATGCTAACAATCTATATTATGTAAAGATTACCCAAAAACAAATCCAGTTTCAGATTAATACTACAAAACATCATCATACAAATTGCTCTATGATTTAGAGGGAAATTTAATCTCAACCAAGAAACTGACGCTGGGTAGAAGACAGACATTTCAAGACATACAAAACTTCATGACCCAACAAGAGTCAAAATAACTCAAGACTGCTTTCTGAAAAGGGGAAGGTGCTTGCAATGGCCTAGCCCAATGAAAAATTATGGAAGGTCTGGAAATTGTCCATCATAGAGACCCTCGCAATCTTGGGGACCTGAAGATGGTTTGCCAAAAGAATGGGCTAAAATTTAACCACAATGCTGCAAAAAGCGAATTACTTCTTACCGTAGATCAACAACAGTGTTGAAACAAAATACTAATGCTACTCATTTGTAGCATTACTACTTAATCATTATTACTACTTAATTATTATTTGCTACTTAATTATTTGTTTGCCCATTGATTTTGTTTTTTAAACATATTACTATTTATGCTTACAAATACATACTTTTTATTTATATTGTAAAGCTCACCGCTATTAAGAGACACTTCTTTTGCACAAGTCCTGGTGCTTTATTTTCCAGCTGTTGTTGGCCACAGCCACGCCATACATAGGCAAAGCTTTCCTCCCTAATAACTCCTTCTCTACTTCCTCGCATCTCTCTCTCTCTCTCTCTATACATACCTAGTCTACAACAAAATGAACCCAGTGCAATAAATGCTAGAGAACACATAAAAAACACATGCCAAAACATTTCTTGAACACGCTACAATACTTATATGTCTACCTGCTTGGCTCTCTGCTCCTTCAGATCGTCACAGGGCCGGACCATGCATAGCCTGCTCTGTTTCACCATTTCACAGCGCTGGTTCTTATTGGTCACCCTAGTGGAAACACCCATGCCACATGTCTTTGAGCAGGCGCTCCACTCTGTGATCTGTTCGATACAGTTTATGCTGGGATCCCACTGGTCGAAACCCACCGTCTCCTCCTGCCTGTATGCTACAAGTCAGAACAACGCAGGAGATCAAACATGACAAACTCAAATATGAGAAAATTATAGTAAGGCAGTAATACTTCATACCAGATTTGTATTAGATATGCTCCTAGCACATGATGATTGGGTTACATAGAGCACAACGTGAACGTTAAAAGCCCAGAAACACACTGGTTATTGTTTAAAGTGATTTGCTTACTTGTCCTCATGCCTAGTTGTGTCTTACAATGTAACAAGGCGTGTGTAACGTAAAGAGAGCTACTCACCTGCCATGGCGAAGCCACCCAGGACAGTGGCCTCGGCCTGAGGCTCACACACCCACTTCTCGCAGCATTCTCCTGGGATTTGGACCTTCCGTGGATGAGGACAGTCAGGCCCTGGGAGCATCACTTCTAGGTTACAGCGTGGTACGCAGGCGATGTAGCCCTCCCTACACATGCACTGATAGCTGCAGCTCGGGAAGAAGGTCTCCCCATTGCGGTAGACAGCACCATCCAATATGCAGGAGTCTCCCTTATGAGCTGTTTGAATAGACAAAATGTGTGGGTTGTTACTATGTACAGTTGAGTAACAGTGTGGATTTTTGTAATGTATATTTCTAAGAAGTCATAATAAGGGTAACCTATACTGATGGAAAGAAGCTCAGTGTCAGCAAATTTAACTTAAATTGGTTTGCACTGAAAATAAAGGCAAGTGGTGAACAATAGGTATAGACCCATTTAGCATAGTCACAGAAACATCCGCTGATGATATTATCAGTATTTCGAGTAGGTTATGATTTGGCAGACATATTTTTGGGGGCGGGTGGGGGTGATTGCTGTCTTTGTGAGGTATTACCAGTCATAGGGCCTACGCCTGTGTGCAAATGCATTTTAAATGTATTTACTCAATAAAGTGCTTTTGCCTCGTCATTTAATGTGAGCTAATGTGGTCTAATCGGCGCCTCTGCTGCACATGCGCGCGCAATCTAACTCTCACTTAAAATTTAAAAAATTGACGGAAATCTGAACAGATCAGCGCGAGACACCACATCCAACGGTCGTTTGTCCCACTGGGCCTAAATATCTGAGGTGAAGAAAACATGTTTAATTCTTGTTGTTTATTCTGAAACATATTATCAGACCTATAAGTAATGATGACTGTGATAATCATCTTAAGCTCACATCAGTTTTTTGTGACTGAGCAACGTTAACGTATCCGGATTTTCACGCTAGCCAGGCGAGCTAGCTAGTTAACTAGCGTTAGCTAACTTATCTGAATACCGTTAGAATAGATACTTAATCAGGCAGGTTGACGCTGAAAGAAGAGATTGTACATTTTGGGTCTTTGAAGGAGTGTAAATAAGTGTAATAACGAGCAATTCAGATAGCTAATAGGAGTGGTAAATTAGTGTAATAACAGGCAACTTTCAGATAATATGGGGGATAAATTGTGCTGCGTTCTGCTGCTCTTTGGTAAGTTGTAGCTATATAGCTTATCAGGTGGTTAACTAGTAACGTTAGTTAGCTAGCTTAGCTAAATAAGACTTCCTTTCAGGTGATTCTTAATAAATACGCCCACGTCACATATCCTGAGAAAACATACCCTGCTTTTTTCTCTTTGCTGTGTTAAAAAGCACAAAAACGCATCCGATACATATGTTTCCACTTGATTCACTGTAAGTTTATCGTTGTGTAGAAAGGTTAGCTTAACAAAGGTCGTGTTATATGTCACATCTCGCAAAGTCGTGCATCATCTAGAATCCCGGGTTGGAAATAGGACTTTGTTGGTTATTCGATCGCAATATATAGGTGGGAAAATGGTATTTCCCAGTTTCTGACACCACCCGAACGCGGCATTAGCTTATTTTGTCTTAGCTCGGCAGGTTAACGTCTAGGTTAGCTAGTTAGCTAGTTAACGTTACGTTTGAGTGTTACCGTTAACGGTGTTTTAGGAGCAGGTTTGACTGAACCTGACCAGTGACCTGTGCACATTTATTGGTAACCCCTTATATAAAACTGTAGGCAGGATATTTTGATAGCCTAAATCACCTTAAAAGGTATTTACTTACACAGTTGAAGTAAAGCTGAATTGACCATAAAACACAATAAAATGTTGGAAAAAACAAATATCTATACTAGACCGTTGACATACGCATGCGCAGTAGGACCGCTAGATGGGTTGGACAAATGGTTAGCCCACCGGCACACACTGCTATTTATGCTATAGCTACATTTCTAATCTTCGTGCAATGTCATGTAGCCGTTGTTTTTGCTATACAGTATGAGTATACACTATGGGTTGTAACTTCAACCAAACTGACGATATCAGTAAAGTAACGTTGTCTTAGGAAACGAGACAAAGGCTAAAATATTTGACAGAAATACTGGACACCTCAGTTAACTCAGTTAATGTTTTTTTCTGAAAACCATTTAGACGCACGTAAAACTAGTGACACTTATTCTGTCTCTGAAGTGCAAATGTAGACATGTCATGCTTCCATTGCATTCTGCGTTATTTTATCTAAATACCGCTGTGCTAACGTTACATCAAACCCAGGATTGTCCATAAAGGGCCGGTGTGTCTTCAAACTGTCATTCCAAACAAGGTCAGTCTTAAACCACTGACCGGGTTTGATCCTGCTGTGTTGTAATGAACACCTGCAGGCACACCGGCCCTTTGCGGATAAAACTGGACACCTTAACCAGACTTTAGCACCACGAACCAAAAGCAGAAACTGGGCTGTTAGTTTTACTGGTGAAAGCTGCGGTTTATGATGCGTTTTTCTCGTGGGCAGCAACCCCAACGTAAAAAATCATCCGGGAGACATGGAGTCCCCACGAAGAGATAAATCCACGCACACTAACCTACACACACTCCGCTCTTGCGATCGCAGCGGAGACCCTGGTGGGTATCGCACGGCGCGCGCTGGGAGCAGGGCTCTCCGAGCTGTCTCGCGCACACGCTGCAGCATGCGCACTCGTCCAGGACAGGCTGCACGCCGGGGGCACACGCGGCCGGTTTCTCGGGGCAGCTGCAGACTGCGGGGCAGCGCGCCCGCGCCACGGAGCACAGCGCCACCTAGAGGGGATTAAGCGAACCAAACGCGTGAAATCACTTTTTACGGAAACGCTCACGAGTCAGCATCAGCGACTGTGCCTAATATTTACCTACTTGCGTGCAGATGAACAGAGCCGTGATCTTTCCAAACACGTTCTTCAGCATCTTCTTATTTCTCTCGTATTTGCCAGTCAGTTGTTGCAGGATCTTTGCTCTTGCGGTGCAGTCCAACGATACGGTTTGGCTGGAGGAATTTATATACTGGTGCACTGGTGCAAAAAGGGAAGGAGAAAGACTTTTTTCCCCACCCGTATTCTGACTGGCACCGCCTCCCGCGCTGGGTTTCTCTGGTACCCTGTGTCTTACAATTGGCGAGTGGTTTCTGGTCACCTGCGCTGAGACTTTAAAGGGGAACTCCTCTGATTTTTCAAAATTTCTGCATGTTGGTGATAGGAGACAGGCGTCCACCTCTAAAAGCTCCCTCATAAAGTTATTACAGTGGGCTAAATCAGTGGGCTAAAAAATGGTTTGTGAAACTGACTGGCGCCGCATCCCATGCTGGGATTCACTAGTGTCCCCGTGTGGCTGCAGGGTTTCATTTCATTCCTGCATTAGGTCAAGATTTGCTATGAAGGCCAGTGCTGTTGGACAAAATCTGTTTAATAAATCGGTAGGAGTGGTTGATGTAGGATCTTAATTAGATGCTTTATAGCAAAGGTCTTATAGTATAAAGCATTTAGCATTTTTGCTTTAGCATTTTTCACAGTATGAAGTGATTCTGTTGCTTAAAATCTCAACCTAAAAGTATTAACATATTTTTGGATCGAAAACTGTATTAACCATTGGATAATAAACAAAAACATCTTGTATGGTTTGGAGTAAAGCCACAATAGCAAATTGGAGTTTCAGCACACATTGTCAGGCCTTCTGGTCCCAGCAATGGAGTTGCTCACTGTACCACAATGCAGTTCATCAAAATGATGTCCATTGTACATTTATAGAAGTTAGGGGGCAGTAGGCCTAGGTGATATCTAAAAATAACTAGCAAGGTATTTTCTAGTTAAAAAATTGTGATTATTGATAACAAGAATAAAAGTGAATAAAACATTATACTATAAATAAATACTATTTATTATCTTTTTTCAGAGAACAGAGAACAATTGGCCATAGACAAGGATCAGAAGAACTTCAGAGTTAACTTAGCTGCTCTATGCTAACATCCAGTCATTTAAACTAAATTTTTTACTGCTGCAAATCTCTTTGAGGCAAGCTGAAGTTTCAAAGCATGTCAGCATTCATTTTTCAGTGCATAGCAGAGAGAAATAATATAGGTGGTTCCTTAAGAAATCTCTCTCTCTCTTTCTCTCTCTACATGTGCACAAGCCCGCAAACTTCTTAACACTCCAGTTTCCTAATGTGTTTTGCAAGCTGTTTAATGGTAAATTAGTTCTCAATAATTCTGCTTCAGTTCTTTCACCAAACTGGTGATTATCACCTCTTACACATTGCCATTGTGGTACGTGTTCATCATTGACGATATCCAAGTACACACCCTGTTGCCCAGGCCTAGTGGGCAAGAGAACAGACAGATTTTTTTCTTCAGGAGTATGCAGTTATAAGTTTTTTGATGAGATGGTACAGAGTTGAATGCCTGTGTAATGGTTACTCCAAGGAATCTAAAGCTGCACACACTCACCTGTTTAGAGGGCTGTTAACACTGCAGAACATGTTGTTCTTGGTGCACCACAATGCGAGTAGCTTCAGGCAGACATTCGTTATAGTGAGATCTGCTAGCGCAAACTCATTGAGATTCATTATTGGGTGATGCCATGTCCGCACAGGCAGTGTATTCTGTCATGCACGCTGTTTTGCTGGTACTTCCTTTGCCATTGCCTCAAGTTGTTTTTCTTTTTCCCTTGTTTATTGTGAAAATATTCACTAGACACAAATACAATTGTTTATTGGCTGATTGTAGATTTAGTGTAAATATAATCCATTATGAAACTATATGTTAGATACATTTAGATATTACTGTCATTAGCAAAATGACAGTATTAACTCTTAAGACAGTATTTATTCTATAACATAACTCTATAACCGTAAGTAACTCTAGAGATTAGTGAAATATGTTGGTATTTACAATTTAGGACTGCAGTGAATATTTACTGGTTTCACTGTACTCCGCTTTGCTACCTAGGTAGCATGCTCTCAGTTTTATGTATTTCCAAGAATAAATGTGAGCGTACTAGCTGACATTGATATCTGGAATAGAAGGAAACTTAGGTCTTTGCCACAAAGACATTTTATTATCAAGCAAAAATGCTTCCTTTGCTATTGATTTTAATGTGCTGATGAACAGTACACTCCAACACACTGCAGTGTGTGAAAATTAAAGTCCATTGTCTATTAGAAATGCCCAACAGTGTTAAACCTTTGAACATAATCTGACATAGTCAGCTAATAAGAGAATGTTGTGGCGAGTCTTATGTAAGTCAAAATGATGTTGAGTAGGAGACTTTTAGTTCAAAAGCATGATTAAAAAACAAAAATAAATATAATTTATACAGTGGCACAAAAAACATTAACAATAATAACAAATGCAGTTTCTTTCATTAAGTCATTGAAATGAAAAATTATATATCTTAACTGTATAGAATATTCTAATATTCAAGAAGGTATTTGATATGACAGTGTTAGTTGCAGCCTTATCACAAATATGTCACATGGTCACTTGAGATGCTTATAGGGTCACTCTCGTGCTGAATAGGTGTGGTATTCCTACCGGATAGGACCAAACAAGCTGCTCAGTTGTCAATATTCGTTTCTCTGTACATGTATTTAGAAGATAACAACCATAAAACATTTATGTAACTCCTTTCTAAACACAAATGGCATTTTGCTTATTTTTACTATTATGATTTGATGCGGAATGTTCTGTATGTTGGGAAAGACAAAGCTTTTCAGGGGGAACACGGTTACATGTGGTCTTGTGTTGTCTCTGTAGTGTTCCTGTCTTGCTTTCCACTATTGAACTCTTGTGGCAGTGTGGTACACCTGATGTGGATTATGTTGTTATGCTGTTATGAGAGTTTCTACATTCTTCCGATTTGACATATCTTCATTCCACCCATTCCGTGTTTAGTTTTTGGCAATTATTAATGAAACTTTGAGACTTCTAAAACATTAAATTGAGGTGTTTGTGTGTGTCCAGTCCTGGGTTCTGCTACTCCCAGAAGACCTGGATAGCGATGAGGCATGCTTTAGGGCCTTATAAATCATTTGTGTGTTGGTGGAGCACGCTGGCTGAGACATGATTCACAGCAAGTCAAATAGTTTCGTACTGGAAGCTGAGAAATTTGCAATGTTGCGTTTGTGTGTTAGCTGACCAAGTCTGGTGGACTATGCAACAGAGCAATACGTAGATGAGAGTGTTCATTCTTTCTTTGTTACAGTTCAAACGTGAGGGAACATTTTTATAAATGTTTCATGAAATGATAGAAAAAAAGGAATAGACCATCAAATAACTATAACAACAAGCTTCAAGGTAGTGATGGGTGATATGGCAATAATACAACAATACAATACTTTGAGAGATTATCATGATACACTGTATGTCACAATATTTATTTTTTCTGACACCTGGTAAGTTGGAATGGACAAAAAGGAATCAGTGGTGCCACACTTAAAAATAGTGTAAAAAACTATGAATACAATGATTTTTATTAAATGTTTTAAACACTGCACCAGGGATGGGTATTTTAACGATACCGATACTAATACCGATACTGCTTAACGATACCGATAGTTATCAGTAGTCTTATTGGTACTACTCTCCATAATTTGATGCAAAAAGACATAACACGAAAAGACGTGACAAGATAGGAAAATATTCTAAAATAAAAAGATCTCCCTACAGTTGAAAATATTAACACCCATAAACAATACAAAATTAGTTACCCCTGGTTGTTAGGCTCAGACTTCAAACTTGGGCTACCTAGCAATTAGTGATTTATGCTATGCTAGCTACTGAATTTTAATTCAGTATAGCTTCTTGTTGCAATTTTCCTATTTCACTTTAAATGGTGCTGGTGCCAGCATGTAACTGCTGCACCATTTAAGGTGGAGCGGGAGAATTTCAACAAGAAGCTGGCTGATAGGAAGGTGACTTCAGCCTCTTAGTTTTAATGCTTGTAGCATTTTGGATAGGTTGATATCAAAATATCCTACCTAGTGTTTTATGTAGGGAACTACCTGTAAACATACACTACAGTAGGGTATTTTGACAAGGTAGCACAATTCATCACAACACTGGGAGGCTGCGCTGAAGATGTAGGCAATCATGTAGCACTGCTTCACATTTATAGTATATTGTATTTATAAGTGTTTCTTGAGGTTGCTGGTGTTTTCCCTTTTACACGCAGCTACAGCTTTGCATTATTATTGCAACGCCATGGTGTAAGTATTTCCGTCGGAAAAGAAAGAAAATGTTTAAGATTGGCTGCCTTAGTTTCACCGAGACTTTTATGTTGAAGTGTCTGAATACGAGTGGGGGTACCTGGTTGTACATGCTGATTTGTAGAGTTGGAATAAAAAGCTTTAATTATGTACCAGACCCCTGACTCAACTGGGTTTCTTGGAGAGAACCCGCGTCAGAGTTCTTTAAGAACTGACAATATATAATAAAAAGCATGTTGTGACTTAATTTATCACAATAACAAAAAATATGGTTATAGTGTCCAGTCCTATTTCAGGGAGAAATGTTTCAAAAGTGAAGGCTGGCCATAGTTCTTGAGCTAGAAAAATGTCTTTCTTTCATATAGTGCTCTTTTGCACAAGTGGTTGGAGACAATAAGCCAAAAATATATTATATTGGGACAATAAGGTGAAATTGTTTTTTGAAATTATTTTTGTTGTATTCATAAAATGTTTATTCTAGATCAGGGGTTCTCAACCTTTTCCACCCCAAGCCCCACTTGTTTGTAACTGTAAAGCATAGGGGCCCACAAAAGAAAATAAAATCAACTTTTTTTAAATATTTTTTTTTCTTAATTGCTCACACTGAATACCTGGGAATTAGCGCCTGAAAGGATTAGATCGCTGATTTTACTTCAATCACAGAAATGAAAATTTGTAGTCATGTTAAAAAAAAACATATGTTTGCAGAGATGTCAAAAAAGAAAAAAAAGGGAGACATAGATGTGGACTGTGATTTGAAGCTGCAGTCCATCGCGTTTTCACTGCAAAAACTCTTGTGGCTCCCATAGGAGTAACTGTTTGGTCTGGAGATGTCTCTTTAGTTTTAAGGGTTTTAGCGCCTCATTTGAAATAAACCACACTCCACTT